ATCAACATCTGAAGATGGAAGAAAAATTTCAGGAGACTGGTTTTGTAAAAAAGCTTTTTAATGGTGAAACCATAGAGCATAATTGGCTTATTTACTCGGAAACCAGTACATCCATTTTTTGTTTTCCATGCATGTTATTCGATCAGCGCTTTACCAAACCTAATATTGCAAATCAGAAAGTAGGATTTAATGATTGGAAAAATTTAAACCGTGTTGTGGAACATGAAAATTCAAACAATCATCGTGAAAATTTCTGTAAATGGAAATCCTTACAAAAGAGATTACTAAGCGGAGAATGTGTCGATGATGCACTACAAAAAGCTATTGAAACTGATAAAAATTGAGACATTCTAAAAATAATTCTTGATGCCGTGATGTCTTGTGCCAAAAACAATTTACCACTTAGAGGATCATGTAGCAGTATAGAAAACCCTAATTCGGGAATATTTCTTAATCTATTGGAATCAGGGCCGGCTCCAGGCACCAGCTCAGCAAGCCTTCTTAAAAAAATTAATTATGAATTTTTGTGCACGTTATCCATATGGCACAATATCCTAACTCATATTGACAGAGTGAATAAAGCCCTACAAGCAAAAGGCATCACTGTTTCTCAGGCTTGTAAAATGATCAATGGATTACGAAATATTTTACGAGAGATGCCTGAAAGCGATAACGATATGGTCAATATTTTTACAGATTATAAAAAAACGGCTGAAAATATAGAAATACCAGCAGCATTTATTGAATCCAGAAAGCAAAAATAAAAAGGCAGCAACTTTGAGTGTGCAGACGTATCTTCTAATTTATCAGCTGAACGATCTTTCAAAGTACAAATAAAAACCGTATTTGGCACCATAATAGTTGAGTTAAATTGGAGATAAGAAACTTTAAATGAGATATCTTCTGATTTTGATTTTCTTTTGGGTGATTCGCTTGTTAAAATGGACACTACTAATCTTCAAAAAGCAGCAGTGGATTTAAATCTCAAATATGACAGCGTTTTGAATGCCTCAGAAATTTCGTCAGAGATTGAGTTTTAAACATCAGGCGTTAGCATTGTTTCCAAATGCGCAACTAGTTTGGACCTTCTCCAGTTAATTCATGAATATAATTTGGCCGAATCTTATCCAAATTTAGAAATTGCATTAAGAATATTTCTCCGCTTGCCAGTAACTGTGGCTTCTTGCGAAAGAAGCTTCAATAAGCTCAAATTAATTAAAAACAACCTTCGAGCAACCATGGGTCAGGAGAGATTAACAAATATGTCCATCTTGTCAATCGAACATGAAGTAGCAAATAATATTAATTTTGATGCAATTATTGATGAATTTGCCTCATTAAAAGCGCGAAAAGTACAATTTTGAAAAATAATCGTTGATCGTATCTGATATGGTTCTACAGCTAAATTTTATTTGTGATTATTTAAATAGTATGTTACATGCACTATGATGCACACCTTATATGTATGAGTTGATTTTGTATGCGGAACTTATGATTAAAAGAAATAAACGTTCTATTATTATTCTTGTTATTTATGTATTTTTTTTTTCAAAGTAACTACTATGAAATTATCTGGAGGGGGGAGGGCGCAATTTTATATTCTTGCCTCGGGCGCAAAAATAGCTAGTTACGGCTCTGACTGAATCAGTTTTTGTTCTGCCCTAAATAGAAGCAAGCTATACCATTTCCCAGGCTTTTACTCTAGTGTGACTGCATGTTAGCAAGCAGCAGTGTTCAGAACTGGGATTCCAGTTCCTTTTGTTCAGAAACCGTCTAGTATGTTGACCCATTGTGTCAGCTGTTGATTGAGCCTGTTTTGGCAGGCAAAGAGTGTTTTCTAATAATGAGTGTAGTTTTCTAGGACTGCATCTACAGTAAATTCAAGCATTCCTGCTTGGCTCATACACTGAAACAGTTGAAACATTCTAGGCTCTCCAGATGAAAAGGGGCTCATTCCTTGGAGCTTTGACATTCAGTAAAAGGAAAATTTGACAGATAATTTTGTTTGCATTACTGGGCTGACCGTTTTATTTATGTTGCTGAATCTTGACTTGCTTTTAGGAGTCCATCAAGGAGTAGCAAGTCCTACTTTTGACCCTTGGTGAGGATGCTAGCAGGCATGATTATAGACAAATTGAGTAGACCTATTTTGAGGGGGGGGAAATGCTGTAATGTAATCAACTTTTTATGTAATAAAATTAAAGTATAGCTATATGTATTTTGCAAGTGGGGAGATCACTTATCAAATGTGGAAGCAGGATGCTCATGTCTCTCATGTGAGTTCTCAAAACAGCACTTAAATGTTCATTTTGTATATCTAAGTGTGAATTTAAATATCCAAATGCTGGACTTATATATCCTGTCAAGGTGTATGCATTTGAAAACTGGGCTTATGGTATAGCTCAGTGGTTCTCAAACTTTTTACTGGTGACCCCTTTCACATAGCAAGCCTCTGAGTGCGACCCCCCCCCCTTATAAATTAAAAACACTTTTTAATATATTTAATACCATTATAAATGCTGGAGGCAAAGCGGGGTTTGGGGTAGAGGCTGACAACTCGCAACCCCCCATGTAATAACCTCACAACCCCCTGAGGGGTCCCGACCCCCAGTTTGAGAAACCCTAGTATAGCTGATGTGGGGGGTGGAGGTGCTTTAAAATGTGCAGTTGCAAATTCATGGTTTAATACTTGGAAAAGTAAACCTGATGAGCCTTTCTTGTTTCACTGAAAGTTTGTCAGGTTGTTATTTTAGAAATCAATGTCAGGTGGAAGTGGGTGGTCCTCTTTCTCTAGATATCGCTACATAGGAAGTAGTCTGAAGTCTATTGTTATTGTGTCACAGATTTTGTTGGTAGCCAAAACTATAGCTGAAGTTACATTGCAACTTCTTCTATTATAGCCACTTGTTTTTGCATGCTTGTAACTTTTGAGGCTAAAACTTCATATGCTTTGTCTCAGCCCAGAGATGAATTTACTAGCAAGTCTGAGGAAAATCCCTCATATGTTTGAGTTAAGGAGAGTGAGGAAAGTACATTTATTATAATATAATAATACTTTTGCACTTATCAGTCTCAAGGTTTTTTATGAAGATGGTAAGTACCATCATTAGGTGCAAAATCAGAGGCAATTCTAAAAATTGGCTCATTATGGGCAAGTTAGGCTGGGACATCCAAACTCCTGTAAATAGGGGTTTGGGTGCCTAACTCATTAAGGTTCCAGCCTCCATGTTAGTGTGAGTTTTGAGAACCTTCACTTTTTTCATTTCTTGACTTTGATTGGGAATAGTTCACTTTTATGCCTCAATACTATGTTTAGTATATGGAACAATGGAGTTACACCAATTTACACCAGCTGGGAATCTGGCCCTGGATCTATATCAGGCATTTTCTGTTTTGGACCTACCTGTGAATCAATTCTGTTGGCATGGGGAATCAAAAATGCAAAGCAGCCTGTACAACACAGTTAAATTTTGAATGAACATGCAATATTTTTGATGCTACCAAGTAGAAATGACTTCCCCAAACCACATTCTGAATGAAGGTGTAAACAACAGGAGGGTCTGAAATTTAGTGGTCACATCAAGGGACCATATCATAATCTGTCAGAAAGACCTCTTGAAACTACTTTTTTTTTTTTTTAATTTAATCCATTTTAGTTGACTACATCTACAAGAGCACAACTTCCCATAAACATTACACAGCATGCAAGAGCAATTCTTCAGAGCCTCTGCACATGGAACTTTTCACTTTTACATTATAAGTGATGTCATCAAGGTCCTACCATAAATACCTTGCTCTAATTACAGATAGTTTATATAATTTAAAAAAAAAAAAATAAGTGGGAGGGAGTTTTTGTCAAGTCACCGACACATTTGTGGAGTCCATGGCTAGATTCTCAGCAGCATAAGAGGCCTTTCTGGTGCAGCTAAAGTGGAGGGGAGAGCGTAAAGATAGTTTTATGAGCTGAACCCTGACATAACTGAGATCAGCCTCAATGTTGCTCCAAATTATGCCTGGCTACAATAACCCGCAAAGACCCCCAGCACTCTGACAATGTTCTAATGATTGGAGCTGGAAGTGGATGGAGTGGGAGCCAGTGTAGCCATCACTACAGGACCTGTGGATTCCCCTAAACCATAGGCATCCCTTGGTAGTCACTTAATGCTACTTTATATTTGTGGAGTGGCAGAAAGCAGCCTTATCGGGGGCCAGAATCTGACCCTATGAATTTACACCAAGTGTTGTAATTTTGTTCATGTTTGCAGAGGTATGTTGGAGACACCTCTTTGTTGTAGGCCAGGGTACAATTGACCAAATTCACCGCTAATGTAAAGTGTGCAACTCCACTAACTTTATCCCCCTTATACCAGCAGTGAATTTGACTCAGTTGGCCTGTGTATCCTACAGAAAAGAATTCCAGTAATCTATTGTCCTTATCTTTTGGATAAAATCCTTTGTCTTACAAGCTATTAAAAATATTTGCCCCAGTTCTCTAGTATGCTTATTACTTAACCAGGTCTGTAGTGCCCACTACTGAGTTTAGACTTGCAATCTTTTAAACTGAGCCTTGGTCTGTACATTGTTGGGGTTTTTTCCTGACAATTTAGTTTCAGTTAATGATTCCAGATTGATGTTTGACCTTTCAAATGGAATGGTTTCTAAGAACTCAGGGTAAAACAACAGATAAGAAGATAAACCTTGTAGGTAATAGCAGATTATGGCCCAGATCCTGCAAACGCTTGCATATGTGCTTAAATCAATTATTTTAATGGGGCTATTCACATGCATAAAGGTTAAGCACATTTGTATAATAATCTGCAGGATTGGGACCTATGAGATTAGGTCATAATTTAGTGTATATTTGAAAAGTATATATTGTCTGCCTTCTAATACAAGAAGTGCAATGTTAATAGAGACAACTGCTAACAATGTTATTTAATTTCATTTAAAATGGCAGCACTTGTGAGTGATGAACGCTGTGGGCAATTTTTATTTTTCAGAGCTGAGAATGATAGCTGCTGGAAAACTTGCAAGTCTCCCCAGAAACATGCAGGTGAACCATCAGTTCTCACTGGCTTCGTCTATGGATCTTTTGAGCAGCAAACCTCCTCTGGCTGAGCATCGCGTAGACTCCTATCAAGATGTTTCTATCCATGGCACTCTCCCAAGGAAGAAAAAGGGGACCATTCCCATTAGATCTTGTGATATGTTTAGCCATATGGGAACCCTGCCATTCTCCAGAACACATAGGCAGCAGTCACCTTTGATTCAAGATGTCATAGAGGAGTATCCCCTGCAAGATAGGAAGAGTGAGAAACTCCACTTCAGGTACCGTCTTAAATTTAACCCAGATGTTTGTTTTGTAAGAGCTGTACTGTATTCTTCTAGAACTCCTATCCTCTACTTACAAGGCTACACTGGCATGGCTGAGCCAACATGGGCATGACCATGAGTCGGTGCTCAACTTGAGTCAGCCCTTAGTGAGATGGCCCCATGTCACAAGCCAGGTTTTAGGTCAGCTTCTATGTAATTACGCAAAAAATGAAATCCGATGCATTTTGCTAATTATAAGGGAAATTTTTGCATCTTATTCCATAGATTAAAATGAAAAAAAGCCTTAGGTGGTGTTTTGATTAGGTTTTAAATATTCTAAATTTTAATAATTTTTGTTGCTTTGTTCCTGTAGATTCAGAAATCTCGTGTGTGTGTGTGTGTGTGTGTGTGTGGTGGGAGGCAGGTCTAATTAGCTGTCCTAGTAAAGATAAAAATATTCTGGCCAAAATTTTCAAATGTCGGTACCTAAACTTAGACACCTAAATAAAAGCTCGATCCAATTCCAGTTGAAGTATTTGGGAGCACTACTGGAAGCCTCAGTTACTTACAGTAATGAGTGAAGTCTAAGAACCTGTATCAGGTAGAGTGTTCACTGACGTTAATAGAATGACTATCAGTCCCTAAATGTCCTGATTTTCAGAGGTGCTGATCCTTCAATGGCTCTGGACATCCTCCTCATACCATTTTGTGGGATATCTACTTAGGTTTGCCCAGATGTTGCACCCAAAGGGTGAAATCTTAGCTCCATTGAAGTCAATGGTAAAACTCCCACTGACTTCAATAGGGATACTATTATTTATTACTGTTATTTAGTAAGTGATAGAGAAGAAGAATTGGGGTGCAAAGTTGTAAAAACACAGTCACTGAGCATAGGCAAAGTATTGTTGACAATCCCATAAGAATGGCAAGATTGTCGCAGGTAGGTACCAGACAGGGGCGGCTCTATGTATTTTGCCGCCCCAAGCACGGCAGTCAGGCAGCCTTCGGCGGCATACCTGCGGGAGGTCCGCTGGTAACGCAGATTTGGCGGCATGCCTGCGGGAGGTCCGCCAGTCCCGCACCTTCGGCGTACCCGCCACCGAAGCCGCAGGACCGGCGGACAATCCCGCAGGCATGCCACTGAAGGCAGCCTGACTGCCGCCCTCACGGCGACCGCCAGGCCACCCCCCGCGGCTTGCCGCTCCAGGCACGCGCTTGCTGCTCTGGTGCCTGGAGCCGCCCCTGGTGCCAGAGTCAGGAAAACAACAAACTTGAGTATAACACAGTGGATTAATAAGGTACAAAGAATATGAGATACCGTTTTGCGGCTTGGATGTCAGAATCGGCATGGTTAAGAAAAGCAGCTGAATGGAACTTCTACACTGGGATTTATAGTTATACTGTAAAAATGTATTTACCAATCAGATTTCATCACACAACCTTTGATTAAAGGAGGGAAATTGTATGAGCTCTGTTCTTGTGGTAGATCAGATCAGCCTTCTCCTTTTAAGGGTGAAGTTAACTGAATCTATTGATAATACTGCTTGAGGACAAGCTGAAAGGTTGTTCTGGAACAGTTTTGTTTCTTTCTACCCTCCAACAAATCAGTCTGGGTAAAAGGCTTCAGAGCACATATGGTTTATAGGGCAATGGTCATGAGGTGTAATTGCTTCCTGCTTGTTTGGACTTGCTTGTGAACCTATTGAACTCCTTTTAATTATTATGTGATCAGAAAGTGCACGCACCCAGAGATGTTATCAAAAGAAGAATGTGATGTCATGCACTGTTGCTTTCTCACAGTCTTCCTTCATATAACAATTACTGTACACAGGGCCGGCTCCAGGGTTTTTGCCACCCCAAGCAGAAGCAGAAAAAAAAAAAGCCGCAATCGTGATTAGCTCTACTGCCCCCGCTTCAGTCTTCGGCGGCAATTCGGCGGCTGGTCCTTCGCTCCGAGAGAGAGAGTGAGGGACTGGCCGCGGAATTGCCGCCAAAGAGACCGACGTGCCGCCCCTCTCCTTTGGCCGCCCCAAGCACCTGCTTGCTGGGCTGGTGCCTGCAGCCAGCCCTGACTGTACAAGTACAGTTTACAAGAGGTATACCTTCTCTCTTTGAGAGAATAGGGCCTCCAAATTACACTTGTACTATTAGGAATATTGCTGTAGTCTCAGCAAGAACAAAAGTGTTGAGAGGGGAAGGACAAGCTTCACTCAGAATGAGAACATGATGCTACTCAAATAATAAGGGATGATGTTAGAACAGCTGGCTAATAGTACTTTCTACTGCCATATAGGAGATCTGGTTGGTCTCCCAGTCACCTTGCTAGATTAGTCAGAGATGTATGGTAGTAGCTCTTGACTAATGTTTACAGTGCTGGCAACTGATGTTAGAACTGAAGTCACTATCCACTCAGACCATGAGTAAGTGTTTAAAAGAGCTGTGAAATCCCTAAGTAAATATGTATATGATGGCAGACATATGGGGCCAGATTCTTTCCCCCTTGCTTATATTGAATGTGAACATACTCTGCCAGTAGTTTCCTTTTTATTTTTTTTAGGAAAGCTAGAAATTGCCATATTCTGCCATCCTCCTTGGTGTCTCATGTTGTGAATCTGCACCTTTATTCAATAACTAAAAAATAAGATTGTACATTTAGACACAAATACAGAGCACACTTATGATTTGCCATGATTTGCCTGTAGTGAGCTTTTGTCATAATCAGCAGGGGTCACATTGTGATGCTCTCACTGATGTTGAGCATGTTGAAATCAATGGGACTGTTGGTGTAGTGAGGACGCTCTACTCAACATGAGTGAGGGTGTATGTCTAAGCTCACTGGCACTGAGCATTCCTACAGTTTGATAAGACAGATAGATATCCCTCTTGTACTGCTGATTTCTGTGTAGAATCTCATGGTGAATGAGAGTCAGAGATCAGCTCCTCAGAGTAGGAGCTGCATTGCGAGCAAGTGTATCTGAGGCAATCACTAGGACAGCTCAGTCTGAGTAGTTAAGAGAACTCCAACACAGCACTGAATAAATTCTTTTGTGTCCCGTTTTGTTCTTTTTTTAATATAGTGTTCTACTTTCACTTAATGCTTCCTGACGAAGTTTGAAATTGGGAGAATCCTTGTCCACCTCCATCGCTCTGTTGACATAACAATAGAGCCAGGGTTCTAATGCTTAGCATTGTAGTTGCTGTGAACTGAGGTTAGAGGATCCTAGATATTGAATTGTGATTCAGAATGTCAAGGTTGCAGGCTCAATTATTGTGCTTTTGGGATAGATTTTTTTTTAAAATAACATTTATTGAGACTTTATATATCAATAAACTCTTCCAAGAGTTTAAAGTTAAGAATAAAACCGTGAAAACACAATGGAGACCATACACAGGGATCAGTTGACATTGCCGGGGAAAGAAACAGGATACAGTAAAGAGCAGCGAAGAAAAAATATAGGTGTCTAGAGCGTAAATACTCTTGTGCTACTATGAGCATTAATTTATATTTCTCCCTTATGTACATTGGTTTTTATTTCCAAAAATTCTTCTCATATCTCCTGATACTTTCAATATCAGTTGGTTGGGGGGAAGGGGAAGCTATTTCTCCCAGGCATTGATTTAAAACTTGTGTTAATGGTATCATATGTGAACTATTTATTAAAATTACATTTCACTTTACACAAGGTAGATTGTATATTTTAAATATCTATTGTGTAATGTACTTTGATTATATGAAATGTCTTGTTATCCAAATAGGGACATTTCCCTGTAACCCTAAGAGCACCCCAATTCCATAAGGCAAAGGGCTCCGTAGTATCTAGCAGTGAGCCTCAACTGTCCTGACAAGCTCAATGTAACCCAACTTGATAGTGTCATAATCTATATCTAAAAGGTGTCCTGTAAGGTATAATATGCAAATTGGTAACATGCTCATCATTAATATTACTGTGTGATATATGTATGGGTGATATAGAATATAAATTGAGCAAAGAGGCAATAGAAATACATTTACAGAAAAGGTAAACAAAGCCATCAAACTACTGAGTGGGGGAGATAGACACTTAACTATCACAATGGGAGGCGGGGAGACACTGCAAAAATTAACATGGTGTCAGCTTCCTGGTGGACAGGGCCGGCCTACAACATTTTGGCACCTGAGGCGGGGAGCTCAAATGACGCCCCCATAGCCCCCTCGCTTGGGCCAAAACTTTGAAAGGTCTCAATTCTGCCTTCTTCCTGTTTTACTCCTCTCATGGTACTGCTCTGCTACCTACCCCAATAAAGGAGAACTAACAACTTAAAATGCTTTGTTCAAAAATTTTAAGTAACACTTACATTTGCTGTTCAGGCGTTTGAAAGTTAACTTTTCTTGCCTGCATAGTAAACACTGGCATTTTTATCTGTTTGAATAATCAAAGTGGTGCTTTCCGTGCCTTCTTGGTTGCAAAGATTTGAACTGCTTTCTGAAGGTCCACAGTCTGGATCAGCTCATGCTCTACTGAGATGGTTGCAAAGCCAACCAGCCTCTCCTGTGTCATTGTGGAGCGTAGATTTGTTTTTATTAACTTCAGCTTGGAGAAGCTGCGTTCTCCACTGGCAACTGTTACAGGAAGTTAGAAGTATGCGCAGAGCAGTAAAAGCATTTGGAAAGAGGGTGGTCATCTTATTTGTGCACATATGTTCCAGAACAGCCTTTGGAGTTGATCCTGCTGAAATGTATCTTGGAAGGGCTTTCAGTTTATCACCTAAATCACTCGCATCAATATTGCGCATGATATCATGTGTCAACACTGTCTCTAGTGCCCTGCATTGCTGGTGTAGGTCTTCTTCGGGTATAGTGAGGAGTTTTGGAATATCATACAACATCCCAAATATACTGCTGTGTTCCTTGAGCTGCATGAAACGTTATTCAACTGACTGTATTGCACAATCTAGCACCTGGTTAAAGAATTCAACTTTGAATTGTTGTTTGGGGTCTCTTATGGCATTATCCCATGCCTCGTAATCAAAATGTC